TTTTTTTCTTAAATGAGCAATGCTAGGGGTATACCTTTGGTGTACAAAGGTGTACCCAAAATATACACCACTCCCTTCTCTACCACTCATTTTTATTTGATTTTTATTTATTTCTATCTTTCTAAATTTCTTGCTAATTTATATGAACAAGGAAGAGGTGGGGTGTACCCAAGGTGTACCCCTAGCATTTTTTGTTTTTAAATACCTTTAAAACCTTTCCATTCTTTAAAACCCAATTACCCATCAAGCCCCACAGCCTGACAGTCATACATTTTTTACTTCCTCATCGCATCTCTTCTCCAATTCCCCAAATCTTCCATTTTCATCTCCAACATCATTCTTATCCCAAATTTTTTTCATTTCGATTTTCTTCTTTTTCTTATTGTATTAATCTTCTTCAAATCTTCTTTGAATCATCCTTATTTTTCAGATCTTCCCCTTCTTCGTCTAATCTTTTTCTTTCAATCTTCTTTGTTTCAAGTCTGTCTTGTTTTCACCAGATCTACGGGAGTGAGCTTCGTCTTCGACAGATTATGTGAGTTTCGCTCACAACGGTCTGAAGTTTTGGTGGTTTGCCGGCTGGAGCTGGACGTTCGCCGGCTGGTTTTAGATCTGCAGAGGAAGAAGAACGGTGGCGAGGTCTTGATCATTAACTTGGGATCGGTGTCAGGGGAGGCCGGAGTCTGAGCCGCCGGCCAGTTCTAGGTCGCCGGTTTTGGATTGATGGGGCTAAGCAGAATTGTGTTGACCCAAAAGAAGAAAAGGGGCTATAAGCAAAAAAATGAAATTCGAAATGGTCAAAATTTTTAAATAAGATCTGTTTCTTATTGTTGTTTTTCATCCGTATTATCTTATTGAAATTACTAAATATATTCATTTTCCAGATCTAGTCTATGTTTTGCTAAGTTGGACGTCCAACTCTTGTAGGAGATGTGACCAAATTAGATTCTTCCTCACAAAACTCTTTCTTTGAAGAAGGTAAATGATTTATACAATTCATTATAATCCTCAATTTCAGGAAAGAAAAATTTTTCTTGATTTTTCCCACGAGAACGAGTTAGCATAAAAAGAAAGGGATTGGGAGGTTTAGAGAGAGAAGAGGGAGAAGGGGAAAGGGAAATAGAAGGAAAATAAAAAAGGGGAGGGGGGGAAGGGAAAAATTGAAAAGAGAAGGGAAAGGGGGAAAGGAAAAGAAGAAAAAAAAAAGTAATGTGTAAAAATTAATAAAAAGGCTCTCACTTAAGTCAAGAGGTAAAAACCACCGAGACAAGTGATACCTTAGTTAGTAGTTAGCGGTTAGAGTGCCAAGCGGTAATAAACCAACGAGGACACTAAAAAAGAAAAAGAGTTAGTAATAATATATAATATGTATAAGATATATAGTATATAATATATATATATATATATATATATATATATATATATATATATATAATATATATATATATAGGGGCCGGTTCCCGTGAGAATGCACCTTGTGGAGAGAAATGAGAATAAAATCTAGCCGTCGAATCTGATGCATCGTGCGGCTCAGATTGCATCATGCGCTCAGATTTTGAGATACTGCATTTTCGAAGGTTTATGGTGCATTTCGACGTGATGCATTTTCGCACCATTTTGGTGCATCTAATTTTGATGAAATCTTGACCCTTAGATCTCGCAATTTAAAGTACCAGATTCATTCTCATTTCTCTCCTAAGATTGCATTCTCACCAGAACCAAAATCTATATATATATATATATATATATATATATATATATATATATATATATATATATAGAGGAAAAGTGAATATATTATTAAAAAAGGAAAAAGAGTACAGCTGCAGAGGGGTGGCCGACCCTACACAAAGGCCGAAACAGAGAGATACATTCATAAAGAAAAAGACAGAAAGTAAAGATCACTACTACAAAATAGACTTTACACAGCGGATAAATATGACTTTTCCCATCGCAAAATATCCGATGTGCATGCAACCAATGGGAAAGCCTTCATGTTTACACAACGGATAAATATCCAGTGTGTAAAGTTTACACATCGGATATATTATCCGCTGCGTAAACGTTACACAGCGGATGTTTAACCGCTGTGTAAACAAGAAGGCTTTCACATCGGTTGCATGCACAACAGATAGTTTACGATGGGAAAAGCCATAATTATCCGATGTGTATTCCTTAAAAATCCAAATAAAAACTATATATATATATATATATATATATATATATATATATATATATATATATATATATATATAGCATGGTAAAAAAATAGCTTTATCGATCCATGGTAAAAAAAATTACAGGTGTCTAGAATTGTAAGTTGAATTTTATACCTTTATGGATAGATTTTTACTTTATTTTGCAGGATTTAATTATTGATTGTAGAAATCGTGGATGGTCGGTCATTGCAACCTCAAGATGTTATGCTAAATCTTACCCTCGTTAAGAGAATGGAAGAAAAAGTGTCTGATATTGGAGATTAGAATGAAAGATAAAGACTGTAAAAGTAAAAAAAATACAGTATAATCCTAAAATTACTTTATTTAACTATTATTTTGATTTTATGATTGAATTTAATTATTAGATAGTCTATGCTTTATAATTTGATAGATAATTTATTCTTTATACTTGAGGATGCTTTGTGGTTTAATTTCAAAAATAATATACCTTTCTTTGTTTTTATAGTAGATGATGGTTTAGTTTCAATTCATGATATGCTTTTTTTAGAGTATATGGTGGTTTATGAATTTTCTTTTAATCTATACATTACATGTATATGTTAATGCTCAAAGTTTCTATTTTTAAAAATTTTCAAATTTACTATTTATAAACGTCGTGTTTAAACATTTTATATTTTACAAACAATCATACCTAAAATAATGCTAGGTTCACAAACAGAATGATCACAAGTTTTTAAAGAAAATAACTGAAAATTTTTTTATTTATTCACATGCACCCTGTTTGAGAACACAAGTTATCCTTTACATTTATTCTAAAAATATAAAATTTATATATCTTTATATATTAAAATGTGAGAGTTGGACTCAGATGACTTTGCCATGTGGCCTGATTACATGGCCTTTTCACAAGAATTTGCCATGTGGCCTGATTACATGGCTTTTTTGGCCTGATTACAGGGCTTTTTTGGCAACTCAACATATTTGTTGGCTTACACCAACAAATATACCTCATTTGTACACCACAAGTTTGCACAAACATTTCGATAGTTTACACCGACACAAGTGTTGGTGCGTTAATAAAAATTCACACGGACACAAATGTTGGTGTGTTTAACAAAACTTAGTTTTACACTAACACAAAATGTTGGTGTACAACTGCGGGGTACAGATTGGGGTACAAATCTTGGGGTACACATAGCATAATCCATCTGACATTTACTTATGGATAAAGCTACTTGTACCCCATATTAACACTTTGTGTTAGTGTAAAACTAATTTTTGTTAATGCACAAACACTTTGTGTCTGTGTAAATTTTTGTTAACGCATCAATACTTGTGTCGGTGTAAACCATCTAAATTTTGTGTATACCTGTTGTGTACAAATGGGGTACAATTTGTAGTGTAAGTGTAACATGACCCTTTACTTATTCACAAAAATAAGAGATTCTAGAATCGTTGAATCAGAAAATTTTGTCTCCAAAAATTTCCTAGCCCCATCTCAAAATTACATATTCAAAACCTCATTTCATTTCATGAAATTTGCTTGTTCGTTCGTATAATTTGGAAATTTTGAATCTTCACCCTTAAATTCTAAGGTTTTCACTTTCAAATTTAAGAAAAACTTTGAAGATTTCACTTTCAAATTTATATATTAAAATTTTTCATTCCAAAACGTTAAATGCTAAATAACGTTTTTTACTTGGGTATTAATGACTAACTAGTGCTGATGGTGTAAATATAGCCGGGCGGGTTAACCGGGTTTAACCTGGACACTTGACCCGTAATATAAAACACACAACAAGAACACAAAGTATGACCTAGACCAGGTAAATCTCCTCAGTCCGAATTATATTTCTTACTCTGTCTCAAGAGTGTACTATTTTTAGTGAGAGAAAGAATTGATCCCCTCCTCTATCCAATATCATCATATTTATAGAGGAGGATTTGTGACCTTCCCCTGTTCATCCATGGACAAAATAGGAAGCCCGTGGGAAGGTCACTGTACATAATCGATCTACTATTCAATCAATGAATTTAGCAACTACAAGCCAAGACATGTACTGTTCAATCAAAGACTAAAATGGATATTCTCAATCCAATCAACCCTGCAAAATGACAAACATCCCTTTCACTGTGTGCCTCGTGATGGATGAGCGGCGGGGTGTCCCCTTGACCTCTGACGTGATTCACCATGCCTAAGAGACTGGACCAATGTTAGCCAAGTAAAGTGATATGACCGGTCACCTTCTCTGAAAGGTTACCCGGTCATTTCTTGCGCTCAACCCGTCTCTTTGGTCTTCTAGAATGTCCTTCGTAGAATAAGGTGATATTTTCGCTATCGCCCAAAATGTGACCGGTCATTTTTTTAGTGGAAGTGACCGGTCAACTTTTGACCCGTCCAAATCGAAGAGTTAACCTCATTTGGTGATTGATAAAAGTGACCGGTCATACTTTGACCTGTCCCTTTCGGTTGTCCGGGT